AATGTACCAATTTCATGAAACTGAAACAATTTTATAAAAAAAAAAAAATAATTGTGTAATGTACAATTAAAAATGTAATTTCTTTACGAAAAAAAAAAAAAATTATCAAAAGTATATATGCATATTGTTTAAAAAAAAACTGGTATATAATTTTTAGCACATGTACATATATATACGTATATTAATAAATAATTATTTATTTTTTTTTTTTTTAACACGTCAAAATTTGTGAAAGCAGTAATACACAATACATATGTACATATACCTTGGTCCGTTATATTTATTAGTGCACTAATCCCATGCACGTAAAAAAAAAAAAAAAAAAAAATTACATATACGCATATATATATATATATTATATATATATATATATATATGTACATGTACTATATAAGTACATATGTACATGTACTATATAAGTACATATGTACATGTACTATATAAGTACATATGTACGTGTCGTTTTGCCTATTTGTTTTATGAAAAAAAAAAACAAAATTAAAAAAAATAATTTTGCCAAAAAAATTTTAGAAAAAAAAATAAGTTTTTAGTCAATTTCATAATATGTCAATTAAAGTAGGTAATAACGAGTGAATTTGATGTGTAATGAGGGCAGTTAAAAAGATTTGCTATTAAACATTGCTGTTAAACAGTGATTTTAATAAAGCAAATTTTTTTTTAACTGTAAATACTAAATTCTAATAGAATTTTTTTTATAATAAAATTTTCTATTAAAATTTAGTTTATGGGTCCCTTGAGTATATTTAATTATATATTTATTATATATGTAATTAAATAATTTTTGGGTCCTGCCTCTGGATAAGGCGAAATAAATATGTTTAATATATTTGTTTTTGCTTTTTTTATCCATTTTTAAAGAACAATTTTTTTTAATAAACCATTATAATAAACCATATTATATAAATGTTATTCTTTCTGATAAAAAGACTAACGTTTATATAAGTAAATAAAAACGCATAATTATGAATATTTAAATAAAAAAAAATATATTCAGCGTTTTTAATTATAATCATCTGTTTAATTTATGTACTACAAAAAGTATTTTGTATTACAAATAAGGCATCGTAACACGAAAATATGAAAAGCATAAAAATATATATTTTATATATATTATGCAAATCCATATTTTTTAGTTTTGTTAGGTGTACTGAATCATTAATTATGTCGTTATATATTACTAATAAAAATAGTAAAGAAAAAACGTCTATAATTAATTTTGATAGTAACTAATTTAAACATATTTTTAAAGTTTACATTTTTATATATGTAATATGTGAATTATATTTGTAATTTACAATACATATATAATATATGTACTTTTTATAATAAAACTTTTATAATAATATATTTATACGATATTATACATTTACGCATTCTTTTTACTATTTTTTATATGTTAAAAATATAATGCTTCTTTTTATATAATAATATTATATAAATAAAAGATATATATTCAATATAAAATATAGTAAAAAGAATGCGTAAATGAATAATATGTATATATATATATATTATGTATATAGTAACCTGGTTGATCTTGCCAGTAGTCATATGCTTGTCTCAAAGATTAAGCCATGCAAGTGAAAGTATATGCATATTTTGATATGTAGAAACTGCGAACGGCTCATTAAAACAGTTATAATCTACTTGACAATTTTTTTTTTTATAAGGATAACTACGGAAAAGCTGTAGCTAATACTTGGTTTTTTTTAAATGTTTTTTACAATTAATTCTTCGGAATTTTTGTAATAAGCATAGTATTTGTTAGTCCTTTTTAAAAAGAAATTTGAACTTAAGGAATTATAACAAAGAAAGAACACATAAAAAATAGTTGCTATTTTTTTTAGTGTGTATCAATCGAGTTTCTGACCTATCAGCTTTTGATGTTAGGATATAGGCTTAACATGGCTATGACGGGTAACGGGGAATTAGAGTTCGATTCCGGAGAGGGAGCCTGAGAAACGGCTACCACATCTAAGGAAGGCAGCAGGCGCGTAAATTACCCAATTTTAAATAAAAGAGGTAGTGACAAGAAATAATAGGACAAGACTTATTTCTAAGTTTTGTATCTGTACTGATAGAAATTTAAAAACTTTCTAGAACTCCATTGGAGGGCAAGTCTGGTGCCAGCAGCCGCGGTAATTCCAGCTCCAATAGCGTATATTAAAATTGTTGCAGTTAAAACGCTCGTAGTTGAATTTCAAAGAATCAATATTAAAAGTTTTTACGAATTCAAAAAAAAAAAAAAAAAATGAATGTATTTTTTTTTTTTTTTCTGTGTTATTTAACTAATGAAAAAAAAAAAAATTTGTCATTTATTTTTTTTTAATTTTTTTTGTTTCTCGTTACTTTTAAACATAATGATTCTTTTTAAAGTTTTTTTTTTTTTTAATATTTTTATATTAAAAAAAAAAAAAAAAACTTTGTTACTTTGAGTAAATTAGAGTGTTTAAAGCAAACATTTAGAGCATTTTTTGAATGTGTTTGAATACTAAAGCATGGAATAACGACATTGCAAAGAACTACCATGAGTTTTTTTTTTTAGTTTTCTAATAGTAGTTTTTTTTTAGTTACGATTAATAGGAGTAGTTGTTTGGGGCATTTGTATTCAGATGTTAGAGGTGAAATTCTTAGATTTTCTGGAGACAAACTACTGCGAAAGCATTTGCCTGGAATATTTCCATTAATCAAGAACGAAAGTTAAGGGAGTGAAGACGATCAGATACCGTCGTAATCTTAACCATAAACTATACCGACTAGGTGTTGGATGAAAAATGAAAAATTTTTCTAGTGATTTATTTTAAATAAGAAAAAAAAAGCCTTTTTAGGTTTTTTTTTTTTTTTTATTTATTTTAAATACTTTTTAGAAAATACTTGCTTCTTTCAGTACCTTATGAGAAATCAAAGTTTTTGGGTTCTGGGGCGAGTATTCGCGCAAGCGAGAAAGTTAAAAGAATTGACGGAAGGGCACCACCAGGCGTGGAGCTTGCGGCTTAATTTGACTCAACACGGGAAATCTCACTAGTTTAAGACAAGAGTAGGATTGACAGATTGACTTTAGCTCTTTCTTGATTTCTTGGATGGTGATGCATGGCCGTTTTTAGTTCGTGAAATTTGATTTGTCTGGTTAATTCCGATAACGAACGAGACCTTACTTTGCTAATTAGCGATAAATACAAGATATTCTTAATTTAAAAATAAGATAATAAAAAAAAAAAAAAAAGAATTTGTTTAGATTTTGCATTTTTTATTAAAAAAATGTATATTTCTTTTACAGTATTTTTTTTTTTTTTTTTTGACTTTGTTTGATTAGGAATGTATTTATTAAAATTAAAAAGCTTCTTAGAGGAACGATGTGTGTTTAACACAAGGAAGTTTAAGGCAACAACAGGTCTGTGATGTCCTTAGATATACTAGGCTGCACGCGTGCTACACTGATATGTGTAGCGAGTATTCAATTTACACAATAAAAAAAGATGTAGTTATTTTAACTATGTTTTTATTTTTTGTGTTCCTCCTTCACTGAAAAGTGTGGGTAATCTTTTTTTCAATACATATCGTGATGGGGATAGATTATTGCAATTATTAATCTTGAACGAGGAATGCCTAGTAAGCATGATTCATTAGATTGTGCTGACTACGTCCCTGCCCTTTGTACACACCGCCCGTCGCTCCTACCGATTGAAAGATAGGATGAATTGTTCGGACAAGAACTTAATCAAGGGATATTTTTTTTGATTTTGTTTTGGAAGAACTGTTAATCCTATCTTTTAAAGGAAGGAGAAGTCGTAACAAGGTTTCCGTAGGTGAACCTGCGGAAGGATCATACAGTAAACTGAAAGTGGAAGTAAACTTTATAAATTAGTTTTTAGAAAGTTTTACGTGAAATATTTTTTAGTATTTCTTTTTTTTTTGGGGTTTAAAGGTTTTTTTTTTTTTTTTGTTACATCAATTTTTGGTATTATGCTTGCTTATTGTAGTTATTAAAAAATAAGTTATAGAAAATAGTAAAAGTAGATGTTTCCAAAAAAAAAAAAAAAGCTTTTTTTTCCCCTCCCCAAATGACCATAACAATTTTTTACAAAACTGTTATAGGCATATTTAGTAGTAGTATAATTTTAATAGTACTAGTACTTAGTACTTAGTACTTAGCAGTTAGCACTGTACGAATTGAGACACAAAATGTTAAAATTGTGAGACATTTTCAATTTGAAAAGTGCTAAATGGGTTTGTTTTTTAACATAGTCTTAACGATGGATGTCTTGGCTCTTACTGCGATGAAGGCCGCAGCAAAATGCGATAAGCAATGAAAATTGCAATGTTTCTAAATCATTAGAATGCTGAATGTAACTATCACTTATTCCTTTTTTAAAAAAATTGGATAAAAGTACTTCTGTACATGATTATATATAGATGAGAGTATACACAAAAGAACGCAAGTAAATAATGCTAATTTTGCATGCATTTATATTAGAAAACTGTTCGGTGGTTATGAATTATTTAATGCGCGCGGTATCACGATTTTATATTTTCACCTATGTGTGGTGCAGTTTTTTAGAGTAAATTTTTTTACTCTTTAAGATTTGTAGGCTTTTTTGTGAAGTTTTTAGTTGTAATCCATTTTGTCCTTTTCTGATAAAGTTTTGGTAAATGGTGATCAATTAATTATACATATAGAGGAGGTATGGAGTCGTGATACTTGCATTTTATAAATACGGTCATATATTGTCTTTTATATTATTGCTAAGTGTGATAGTGTGTTATTTATATTTTAACTTTATTTTTTTTTTGAAAATAAAGTTAGATTATTTGTGGTACGTTTTTTAATGATAGTATGTAATATACATTGAAAAAAAAAAAATGTTTTTTTTTTTTTTTTGTATAGAGGCATATATTGCGAACGACAGGCAATTTTACGACGTCATTAATTAACAATTGATAAATTGTAGTGATATTACTACTATTTAAGCGTTTTTTTTTTTTTATACACTAGCGCTAGTAATGCTTTGTGGGTTTGATTTTTAGACTGATGCAGAGTGAAGCGAAGGAATCTTTTAGCGGTGATAATCGTTGGTGTTCTGTTCTAGTATATACCAGAATTAAAAATAAAAAAAAAAAAAATGGTGAGAATATTATCAATTTGCTTTTTGTATACAAAACTATATTGTTTTCTAAGTCAGAAGAGCGTATCCGCCGAATTTAAGCATATAATTAAGCGGAAGAAAAGAAAATAACAATGATTCCTTTAGTAACGGCGAGTGAACAAGGAAGAAAGCTCATCAGTTTAATCCTAGCATTTTATATGTTAGGAAATGTCTGGTTTAAGCAGTATTTTTTTTTTTGCTTGTACAACATTTGTATTGAAGTAAGCAGGAATGCTTTTTCATAGAGGGTGAAAGACCCGTAAATACATTTATGTACGTAATGATGCTTTAAAAAAAATATTGTTTATATAGAGTCGTGCTCTTTGAGATTGGAGTACAAATAGTTGTGTGATACATTTCACATAAAGCTAAATATATGTAAGAGACCGATAGCAAACAAGTACCGTGAGGGAAAGATGAAATAGCACTCAGGAATGAGAATTAAATAGTACCTGAAATCGTTAAGATGG